TGGAGATCCGCATACTACTATTCTATAAAGGTACGAGTAGTGGAGCTATATGAATCACCTGAAGTGCTATTAAACAGACGGAAGCATGATGTGTCAAGTGTTTTGCCTTTATGAGTAAAATTACCCTTGGAGTACGATTCTTTGATAAAGTACGATAATACAAGAAGTACCGTCCTTTTTACAACCCTCTCGTGTGGATAATACTTCCATTTGAACAGGATATTCGCTAAAGGAATATTCCTGACTTGGAGTACTGTTATGGGGACACTACAGATGTATGAATAGTACTCATATCTAAAGATGCCTGATATGGCTTGTACGACGACATCTGATGAGTGGCAAAGTTAATCCCGTATTATTAATTAAAGTAAGGGGGGGTGTAGAATTCATGACTTAGCTTCGTGCCGTATGAGGAGGTGCCACCGTTACGAAACGTGTGGAAGTTGTCATAGTACCTCCGTATGGGGGGTACACTTCTGTGGGACTCATGGATGTGTGAATTGCACGATTACTTGAAGAACACTGATGTTATGTACAGAATAGTTTGTCCTGATAAGGACAACTGTCCTTGGAATAGCATTATTTGAAGGGTCGTCATGTTGGTTTAATGGCTGGATGATATGACTTTGGCGATTCTGCAGATCCAACAGGTGGCCTCGGAACCTATTGTCTAAACAGTAGAGCTATGCCAGGGCCACTATAACCTTAACCGTATTAATGTGTCAAGAATACTGATTTTCGAGGGGTGTCATTATTCGTAGGGTAATATTCTATGAAGTGCATGCCTATTCCAAAAGGGTAGATGACAAGGAAGTATACATCTTTCCCCATTTCCCATGTTGACGAATGCAGAAATTCTCGTAGTACTGTTATATGTGGGTATTAATGGATGAGATATAGTGATATCTGCAAAGTACAGCCCATTTGGGGGCATAATTGTATAAAACGTACGGATGATCTGCTTCGCTGTCTTGTGAGCGTACTGATATCTCCCTAGTGTCGTGTCTTGGAATGCACAACTGGGCTAGGACTCTGGATATCGAAAGACCAGAGTTATTGAAAACCTTGGAACTTCATCGCCTACGGTTTAGGCTTATATTATAGGGAAAACACAATAGTTGCAAATTCATACCACTCCACGGAGTATTATTATATTAACAGCCGTATAATGTGTGAAACTGCATGATTGGGAAAGTAGCGTTGCAGCCAATATACACAATTGTGTGGAGTAGTATTGAGCGAGAATTACTTATTCGCTCGCAATGGTAACATTCCCAGAGTACAAATATGTGAACAATGTGGATGTTTGCGAAGTATTCAGATATTAGGAATAGTATTGTGAAGTGAATACTACTGTACCGGGAGTACTATGATTTGAATTGTATGAACATGCATGCCGTATCATTATCTTTATCCGTCGTCCATCCCTACAATGATATTGTATGAATAAAACACTTGTATCAAGTAGAGAGATATACATAGTGTACCATTTATATATAAGGCATAGCATGATATGGACTGTATATATGTGTTTAAAATGTCAATACAAATAAAGAGTAGAGATGTCTAAGGAATACTATTATATGGCTTTAGACGTTATACCGTTATTGTATAAGGGGGAGATTTTTTGGAACTAAGAAAGCCTCTGTAACACACACATTTGAAGAAAATTGCTGTGCCTCGGTTCATATAATGTATAGAACGCCAGGGATATGAGGAATCACATTCTGTGAAGTGCAGTGAGATTCAAGATACGGTATAGTATGAAACATATCGATATTCTCAATGACCGTCCTTTGAAAGATAAGGATTTTCCTACAATATGCCCATAGAAAATGCAAAAGTGTGTGAATTGCGGGCTATGTGTTCCAAATTTCGGTTCCTATTCTTTGAGCGACAACAGTCATTGATGAGTATAGATCTCTATGAAATAGTATTATGTGAAGAATTGAGGGCTACATTCTAAAGAAAAGAGCAGGCCATTAATCACGCGCAGGTGCAGGCGCTGTAGCTGTGTCGAATGTATTATTGCAAGAGTAATACAATAGAGGCAGAAATACATGCATATGGACAATGCAAGGATTCTAGCGGAAATGTTGTTTGTAATGTACAGTGTCGCAGGAATTGTTTTATGTGGAGGCCTCATAACATAGCGTTTTAGATACGACTAATTGGAGAACGTGACTAATTGAGGAATCATGATTTATGTGTAGTATTAATTAAAAAATATTGCTCCCCCCAGGACTACGGGCCTGTTGAATGTACGCTTAGCATACAGCCCTATTATATGAACCATGCGTCTATACCTCCAGTATTATTTTGTGTACTGTATACATGTCCCCTGAATATTATTCTGCGAAACGTTCACCATTTACAGTTCTTTTATTTGAAGGCTATAATTGCCTGAAAATAACGGATCTCCATGAGAAAAGATTATATCAGAAGCATAAATGTGCAAGTCTTAAAATTGTGCCTACAATACGTTTATATGAGAAAGTTAGGCCAACGAGTGCTATTATTTGAAGAATAGAATAAGGAGGAGGATATACACTTCCTTGGAAAACTAATATATAAGGAGTACATTTTTCGCGACCATTATTAAGTATGTGAGAAGGAGACATTTCTCTAGAGTATCACTGCATAAACAGTAGGAGAATCACCAGAGTCCCTATTGTGGAGTCGTCAACATTTAAAGCAGGAAGCACCATAATTTAAAAAGAGATATTTAGTAAGAGATAATAGAGTGGATGCAGCGATATTCTTGGAGGGGTTCCAATCAATAAGCCTTACACATATACAGAAAATACGATATGCCTGCGGTATATTTGTATTAACTGTAAGAATCGGCCTTACAACAACTGTTTAGAGGATAAACCTCTGTCAAGGGTAATATTCTCTGTAGAACAGTGCTGTGTGAGGACGAAAATTGTTTAAGATAATACAGAGGTTTAGAGAGTCCAATTCCATCAGGAGGACGGCAGTTGTAAGAATCATACGATTTCACCAATACACTGACTTGTAAGATAATTCCATTCCAAGAATACGCATATACCAATCCTAAGGCTATTCATTCTGTATAGGAAACTGAGGGATACTATCACTAAAAGGGGTATCGACATACCGAGGGTGTTTATATATAGGAAGCACTTTTTATAGGCAAAGTAAAAATGTAAGTACAGTAATACATCGTGGACTGTGATTATTCCCTCTCGATATTATTGTAATATAGATTCCATAATTATCCGGCTACTAATAACACACAATGATTACGGAAGATTTGCCCACCTGGCTTAATCTGTAGTATTTTCCTCTTAACAAGACTCGAAATCGATGCGGTACTATTAGAATGTAACAATTATGTGAAGTGCAGGATTAAACTTCTTATACCCTAGGGGAGAATAAGAGATTCTAAAAGGAATAGTAATATATAGAGAAGGCTGTTACTCGTGAGAACTTAGGAATAATAATAACATGGAACCAGCAAAGAGGAGAAAGTGAGCATAAGAATAAGAATACACATAAGATATTAAGAAATCATTAATCTAAGAGGGGGGGGGGCAACCATATAGGAGAGGAGGACTATAATAGAATGTATATACGAATACAACTGACATATTTGAGAAAATTATCTACTTCAAAGGACGGAGAGGGATCTATATAGCACCATATAAATACACCACAAACCAGTGGAAATATCAACATGACGATCAAAGTGGAAAAGCCTAAAAAGGAAGGTACCTAATTAATACATACAGAGAAGAGGAAACGGGAGAAGGAGTTACAGGGAAAGATGCTCAGGGGATGAAGATTATACACTACACCCAAAGCATAGACCCCAGAAACACAGTAGGGGTGGCACATAAGGAATAATGTGAGCAGCATATTTTTCCCTCTGACAAGATAGATATATGAAATCGAGGGTTTCATGTTTTCTAACATATAAACAAAGGAATAAGGACAGATAATATCTTGAATCTGTGCTGAGGTCATGGAGTATAATAAGTCGCACAATAACTTCATTTTTGTCTGTATCTAAGACTATAGATGATGCTATAACGGGCGTCTCCTTGTTCAGAACAGGAGGATGTAGAATGTTAAGTGGTATTCATAACCCCTTTTATGCATAAGGGAGTATAAGCCTATACAATGCATACATTCCCCTATTGACATAAAGACATGTCCTATAAAGGAGTCTTACACGACCATAGAGTTATGAGGTTCTTCTGAAAAATGGGAACAAGTGAATAAATATATGATCATTTTGGCAGTGATATGGTTTTTATATGAGTTTTAAGTTTAATAATATATGGGCATATAAGCGATAATAGAAAAATTCCCCCCCTTAATAATGAGTCAAGTAGTTTTATAAACCTATTGTGTGTTATTCCACGTGATTAATTAACCCGAATATTCGGAAGTATTGGTGAGTTCTTGTGGGGATCATCTGAATAAACAGGGGACTTTTTATGTTTCGATACATTATCCTAGTGTACATTTCCCCATCTTCAGTCAAAGGAATAACTGTATAAATAGTTCGGTACAAAATATTGTGGCTTATAGTATATTTTCTTTGCTATATAGCATATCATGAGGGATGATATACAAACAGATGTCCTGACCTGCTAAGGAGTAAATAAGGAGAAGGATATAACATAGAGGAGGAGCCTCATATAATGGTTAGGAATTTCTTGATAAGACATAGTGTATATTATAAGGGCAACAGAAGGAGAAGACAAAGAAGCCAACGGGAGGAACGACCGAAGGAAGAATAAATCAGTTGCCCCATAATAAGATAGATTAAGCAATATGTACCGCTGACTAAGAAAACAATAAAGAGGACCATCGATTCATTATTGATGAGGGCCTGAGCAGTAGGAAAAAGGACAGCTATAATCTAAGTAGTGATAGATGAAGTCAATAAATTATTATCCCCAAGAAAACACTCGCTGGTACCAGCAGCAGGGCCCCTTGAAACAGATGATAAGCCAGTGAAGGCTCTTATGGGAAAAAATATAACACAAAAATCTCAGGGAGGATCATCAGAGGAACCTCCGCTCTCATTAGTCCAAAAGGAGGAACAAATTATAAGGGCCTACACCGACTGGGGAGAATGGAGAGCATGGAGAAATCAACGAAGAAAGAAGAAGCAGATGAGAAACCTCGAAGGCAAAACCCAAGCCAAGGAGGGGATCAGGACAGGAAGCGCCTTTCCCAAAGTTAAGAAGAGGACGTACCCAAATGATTAACGTGTGCCATAAGCCAAAGCAGGAATAAGGTAAAACCAGAGGTCGGTTCCTGACAGAAGGGACGACTTCCCGAGCAGATCCCGGTTAACGACGCCAAGAGCCCAAGAATAAGATAAATCGAAGGCATAAACCCCAGATAGTTTAACTAACTTTAAGTAATGAACTAGCAGTAACTCATAGTCGCAACAAAGGAAGCCGTAATCGGCAGCCGGGGGCTTGACTCTCCACAACCGTTAAGTATGAGGTTCAAGATTAAAGAAGAAAATAAGGCAAATGACTGCGAGAAGTATAAGGACGAGGGCTACTGAAGAGGACAAAGGCAGACAATATAGGAGGAACATTAGAGGGGGACCTTACACTACAGATATTTCTTGAGTTAAACTAGGCACAGCTGAATACTCAGATCCAAGAATCACTTGCCGTAAGTATTTGGACCAGCATACCAAGGAATAATCAGAAATCAAAAAATGGGTCCAAGCTTCGGCGCCTATATGAAATCATACTGGGATCTAGCAAAATGTCACAAAAAGAACCCCCCCGAGGAGCCCAAAGCGTTTAAGCTTTGTGATCTGGACACCAAGGGGCTTCCAACTAAGTTCCTAATTCCTAGTGCGAGGGGGCCAGAACTCACACAAGGAACCTTCAAGAGCACAGAGAGTATAAGGGTAAGGACAATCATGGTATGTCAAGCCCTGGAAGGATGGGTATCCAATTTACAACCGTCTTCCTCTTCCAACGGAACCTGGAAGGAGGCGCAATGTAAAATGGAACACATGGGATTCCCAAGAGGGGGGAGACAAACAAAGACTTGTCCGATAAACAATGATAAAGAGAATTGGCGGAGTTTTTATAGCGCCACGCCACTCCATCTGCAACAGGAGACAAGTCGGACCTTTCAGACCTGTTTGGATATTATGGGTATAATCCTTAATATCTATAATGAATATAGCGGTGAACGGCTACAAGGAGCCGAAGAAGAGGGAAGTAACATTTGTCAGCAAATAAATGACAAACTGACGGAATGGGGCGGCGAAGAAGTAGGAAAGAAAATAATGAAAGAATGGTTTCTGAGAGACCCTAAGAAGGAAACCAGCAGTTCATTGACTCTGGAAACTGGGACCCCGTTAAGTGAAAAGATAAGTCGCCTAGTGAAGGAGCTGGGTTTTCCGATAGCCGGAGTTCAATGTAGTTCATGCCCCGGGCTACTGAATAGTTATAAGGATAGCTGCGTCTATATAGACTCGAAATCTTGTCAAATGATGGGAGGAGATGAGGAAACTCTACAGGGCCAGGAGGCTAACTCGGCATCCCCCCCATCCAACAGAGGTAAGGCCGTCTCGATAAGATTTTTGAGAACTAGATGCCGATAGAATTTGGAGTGTGAGCCAAATGGAACATATTAAAGAATATAAGCTGAGGTGTTAAAAACCTTTTCGTTATAGGCCCCATAACCACGGAGCTTATAGCCCAAGTCAAAGCCAAGGAGGGGGACACCCAATACAGGGACAGAATTACGAAAGAAACTGTAGACTTTAAGGAGGAACTTAGGATCCGAGCGGAGGAAGTAACAAGAAAAAACCAAGCCCCGGGGCGTTCCCCTGAAATATATGGGGGAGCAATAGGAGGTGTTCTTTCAGTTGTCGTAATTACTGCAATAGTCTATCTCTGGAGAGGCTCTAGGACAGAAGTTAGGAAAAGGCACAAATTAATCTTCCCAGAGAAGCAATCAAGACTAAGAGCCCAAACCACTAAGGGAAGGGGAATAATTACCTATAAGAACGCCACTATAGGGCAATAGACAAACAGAAGGGGCGAAATATCAGAGACCGAGGAAACATACTTGGCTGAGCACTTGAGTAGAAGCTTTAGAAGTCGAAGGGTCACCTGAGACAGGTCGGAAGTGTCAGACCCAAAAAAAGAATTACAAGCTCCTGGAGTCATCTTTAGGACGAAACCTCTGCCTACTATCAGAAGCTTTTAGAGGAGGAAAATTCTTCGTAAGGATTTGAAGATATTTGTCAATCATCCCCTCCTGGACTTCCTAACTAGAATTAAGCAATTGGAAAGAAGAAACCCCCCAGGCAATTGCTTTATAAGCCAATAATAATTTACTCTTGAAGAAACCGTAATGCAATCTATCCCCCAGGTATATAAACGCCACATTAGGTTCCATGTCAGGTTACCTTACTGATATGACTACCTCATAAGACGACAAAGGACAAGTGCCCCAGGGCCAGTATAGAAGACCTCTCTAGTATCTTAATATCTGTATTCTGTTAGGATGTATTAGAATAACCATTGAATCCAGAATTGGGGACCTCAGAACAAGAATCCTTAATGATATTAACTGCTCAGGAATAAGCGGATAGAAGAGACACAGTTATTCCAATAAGAATATATAGGAACACCTATAGTAATAATATGAATTTATCGAAGAAGACCTCTATCCGTATAAAATTCTAATATCTGGTGTGTTTGAGTGTCGATTCCTTATAAAGACTAAACCAGGCGAGTTGAGTCTTAGGACAAAAGAAACCGTGAAATTTTGAATTTGAGAGGATTAATTCTTTATCCATTTTATTTCCTGTTTAATATCCCCAAAGAAAAACCTAAATATCTAGAGATAGATGATAGAAAACCCCTGAGTCAACATCTGAGTATGATAGCAGATGACATGAACATTCCGGTACTAGGAGTACAGTGTTCTGAGGAGTCAAATAAGCCTGGGACGTACAGGGATAGTTGCGTATATACAAGTCCCGGACACTGTGAAGGCATGGATCAAGGTTCCGATAAAGGGGAGGGTGAGGAAGTTGAAAAGTAAGATGGACGCCCACTAACCAAAGGATGAAAAGCGTCGCGACGCCTGAGGCCAACGAGGGGATCCTCAGGCCGTGAGACGCAAATATGTGGGAAACCTTAAATTAAAGGTAACTTGGGAACTATCCTACTCTGTAGATTCTATAGAAGAAGTTCTGATAAACAAGGTGAAGGAAACTAAGGTCAAGCACCATCAGGAAGAAAGGATTCGCGAAGGAACGAAAGGCTTTACCGAAGCTACAGAGAAGGGAGCCCAAGATATGAGGAAAAAGTTAGAGGGGGACTCAAATCCTATTAATATATATATACCGAACTTTGGCACGATTTTTCCACTTCTGGGGCTTAACAGAATTTTCTATTCCGGAAGAAGGAAAAGGAGAAGAGTTAAGGGTAATGGCAACTCAAGAGTCAATACCCGAACCCAATACCTTATCGGAACGAAATTATAGAGGAAAATGATAACGTATAAGAAGAATGGTGTCCAGCAATGGGGTAAAATACGGAGGAAAAACATCTGGAGCCATAGGAACAACTATGGGGCTTAGATTCGAGGTTCAGGGCTTAGAGACGAAACTCTGGATTAAACCTTTATGAGGATGGGGATTAGAATTGAAACTTGTGAAGTTTAAAATATTGATATTATAATTAACCCTATAAGTTCTAGAAATAACACTGGCATCTAAGAAATTATGAGATTCAGGTTAAAAATCTCGATTTAGGCGCTCCCCTTACGATTAGAAGGATACTGTAGCCCTTAACTTCTGAGGGAAAATATTTCCAGTTGATTCAAATTCCGTTTAATAAATGCTTCAAACAGGACAAGTCAGGCTTTAATTATACCATCGAACAAATTAAAGGAGTAAGCCCCCTATCCAAGGATTCTCGAGGCCTAGGTTATATATCCCGAGAGAAGTAGCTTGCGTATTGAGATAGAAAATTCAAGAATGTATATTGACTTAAAATCTCTAAAACCTTCAGTTTTAGTAGTCAATTAGACCCTTATCTATTGTTGTCACCTCCCTGTTCTTAATGTTACCGAAGTACAATTGTGGCAAATGAAATACTAGATAGACAGATTCAGTTACTAAGAATACCTGTTAAAAAGGATTTAACTCTAGTATGGATTTATTCTTGAAAGGGTCTATCTAAAAAGTCTCGTATGATTGCGTCCGTATAAGGATATAGATTCCGTCTAAGAAGTCTTAGTACCAGCAGAACCCAGGAATCCCCAAGGAATATCAAAATCTTTCCGTAAGGGACTTTTTTTTTATCAGTTAGTTTTACTCTGTTAAATCAGAGGGACGGAACACCCCCTCAGAGGATGATATTCCTCTTCATGATAGTGTCAGCGGAGAAAATGCCTTAAACTATTGTCTAATAACGAAGTTGTAGAAGTACCTTACTATAGTGACTACTAAACGATAACTATTTCATCCCTTGTTAAATGTGTTCTATTATGTCATCACTCATAATTAATATCCTCGAGGTGTGGTTTCGTCCCTGACATAGTGTCTCTGTCGAGAATGAAGTAATCAATAGATCTTTAACCCCTCCCTGTATAAGTATTATGATACAGGAAACAACCCCTCAGCCATTAAACTACAGGACAAGTGAAAGGAGTAATGTCGGACGCTATTATGCTATTAAAAGGAAAAACACTGTTCTACGGGTCTGATGTAATTCCGAGACTGGCCAAATAAAGGATTACTTGGAACTGGAAAATCCGATATGGACGAGTATTTCACCTTCGAAAATTACAGGAGGGATTTTGAAAAGTGGGAATATTTGGCAAAGAGGATAAAAGGATGGATTTATCAGCCGAATGAAATTATCCGAAGAGTTTATAGGTAAGAGATAAATTTACTCCCAACTAAAGAACAACTGATTCCTCATGTTAATTTTCTTATGGGCATTTACAGAACAGAAAATATTTCAAAAAAATAAGGAGAAAAGATGATTTATCTCTTTAATATTGTTGAAAAGATCCTACTCGCAACAGATAGTTAGCCGACAGAATACAGCAAAGATGTTTCACCGGATTAATATTATTTGGGACATTACCGTAGCGGAGCGTAAACAAAAAGAGAACCAGGGAAAGGATACTCCCCCGCTTTAATTTTATTACATACATAGCAATAACCACAGTAATTAACAAGAACAAAAGAGGCGAGTTTTCGACGCGGGTAATTTTATTACATATATTGCTATAGCAGAAATAATTTCCAAGAAGAAGAAGGCGAGTTTTCGCCGCGGGTAATTTTATTACATATATTGCTATAGCAGGGCTAATTCCCCAAAAAAGAAAAGGCGAGTTTTCGACGCGGGTAATTTTATTATATATATTGCAGTAGCCCGAAAAATTAAGATGACCAAAAGAAATCAGTATTTCCTCCGCTTAAGATTGTTGAAAAATTTCACGGGGCAACACATCGTTAAAAAAAGATGAAAAGTGAGAATTTTTCCTACGTTTATTTTTATTCCGAACACTCACATAGCGGCCAATTAATTGGAGGGAAAAAAGAAGCGAAGAATATTCCGCGCAGAAGATTTTATTCCATAAACTCCTTTAGGAAGGGAAATTAAACCAGAGACCAGGCAAAATGATGTTTGACTCGATGAATTGCATTAACCGCATCAAAGATGGAAACGAGAAATTAACCAAATGGCAAGGAAGCAATTTACCATACGGTTAATTTAATTCCGAAAAATTCCGGGTGCCAAAAAAATGAACAAAAATTGGAGGAAGTTTTGTGCAAATTTATTTGCGTATGAATTATGACAACTCCAACGAAAAACGAAGCGAAGGAGGAACACGCGCCTGATCAGATAGTCTAATCTTATTGCAACTATTCCCCAAAAGGCGAAATTACCCAGAAATGACCAGACAAATATTCAATACATGTAAATTAATTCCGTGAATTCGGGTGCCATGGAAATAGTAAGGAAAACAAGAAATAGCATGTTCAACTCCTTTAAAATCCTTCAGAATAATTATCGGTGGGTGTAATATTTTGCACACCAAGAAAGGGAGGGTAGTTTCACACGTGTAATGTCATTCCAGAAATGTGTGTACAGCGAAATAATTGACAAAATCGAAAAAGGACAAATATTCCCCCCCTTTACTGTCATTCCAGATACTTACCGGTGGAAGTAATATTTTGCACAAAGAAACAGGGAAAATAGTTTCACACATGTAATGTCATTCCAAAAATGTGTGTGCAAGGAAATAATTGATGGAATGGAAAAAAAGTGAATGTTCCACCCCATTACTGTCATTCAGAATAATTACCAGACGGAGATGGAATTTTCCCGAAAGAAAAAGGGAAACTATTTCACCCGTGTAATGTCATTCCAAAGATTTGTGTACAAGGCAATAATTGACAGACTGGGAAAGGAACAAATGTTCCCCCCCTTTACTGTCATTCTGAATAATTACCAAAGAAGGCAACATTTTGCACAAAGGAAAAGGAACAATAATTTCACACGTGTAATGCCATGCCCAACGTGTGTGTGCAAAGAAATAATTGACCAAACGAAAAAGAAACGAATATTCCACCCCTTTAGTGTTATTCGGAATAATTACCAGACGGTGACAATTTTTCCCCAAAGGAAAAGGAAAAATAATTTCACACGTGTAATGTCAATCCAGAAATGTGTGTGCAAGGCAATAATTGGAAGAATGGCAAGAGAACAAATGTTCCACCCCTTTAGTGTGATTCGAAATAATCAGCAGACGGAGAAAAATTGTGCCGACAGGAAAAGGAAAAATAATTTCACAGGTGTAATGTCATTCCAAAAATGTCTGTGCGAAGAAATAATTGAACCAAGGGCAAGCGAACCAATGTTCCACGCCTTTAGTGTCATTCAAAATAATTACAGGATGGGGCAAGATTTTGCACACAGGAAAAGGAAAAATCATTTCACCCGTTTAATGGCATGCCGAACGTGTGTGTGCAAAGAAATAATTCAACAAAGAAAAAAGAAACGAATATTCCACCCCTTTAGTGTCATTCGGAATAATTACCAGGAAGTGACAAATTTTCCCCAAAGGAGAAGGAAAAATAATTTCACAAGTGTAATATCATTCCAAAAATGTGTGTGCAAGGGAATAATTAAAAGAATGGCACCCCAACAAATGTTCCAACCCTTTAGTGTCATTCAGGATAATTACCAAACAAGGCAATATTTTGCACACAAAAACGAAGGGGGATTATTCACTGGGGTAATGTGATTCCTAAGATGCGGTTGCGGAAAAATAATTAAACAACTAAGAGGACGGCGGATGTTCAATCTCTTTAGTGTCATTCGGACTAATTACCGGAGGAGGCAATATTTTGCCCACAGGAAGAAAGAGTAATAATTCACTCGTGTAATGTGATTCGAAAAATGCGGTTGCGGAAAAATAATTAAAAAAATGCAAAGACAGTGGATTTTCCCCCCATTTAGTGTCATTCTGAATAATTACCAGAGAAGGCAATATTTTGCACCCAAAAACCAAGGGGGATGATTCACTGGTGTAATGTCATTCAAAGAGTGCAGGTGCGGGAAGATAATTAAACAAACCAAAAGACAACGGATGTTCCCCCCAATTAGTGTCATTCTGAATAATTACCAAAGAAGGCAATATTTTGCACCCAGACCCAATAATGTTCCAATCGCGTAACCTCATAAGAAAAATTCCGTGGCGAAAAAATAATTAACGTAATGGAAAAAGAAGAAAAATTCAACCCCATTCGTTTCACTAAGAGTAATTACAGTGCGAAAGTGAAGGAAGAAAAAAAAGGAGAGAAATTTTTTCCGCGATTAGTGTAACTCTAAATAATTAGAATGTGTGCGTTATTTTACAGAACGACAACGACAAATTTTGCACTTTTGCAACTTCATTCCGAATAATTACGAAGACAAAAATATTTTACAAACAACAAAAAGAGAATGTTTCAACAATTTAATACCATTCAATTTAATTATCAGTCGAAAAATATTTAGCGAAAAAAAAAGAAATTTTTTTAACCGGATTAGTGTCATTTTTGATAGTCAGCGAACAACAAATATTTTGCCTAAACCCCAAACCAGCTGTTTACCCCTTTCCCTGTCATTCCAAATAATGATCAAGGAGGAAGCAATTACGAAACGGAAAAGAAAAAGTGTTTAACGTGATTAGTGTTATTCCAATTAATTAAGACGAGGACAATATTTAGGACGCCTGAAACAAGAGGTGTCTAATCCTTTTAATGTAATTCCTATTAATTACCAAAAGGGCAATATTTAGCCCCCCTCAAGGAGGGAGTGTTTAAAGCAATTAGTGTTCTTTCAAACCTTCCAAAACATGAGCTTAATGGGTCCAAAGAAGGAATTGACAAGTATCTCTTCCAAAAAGCCTAGAAAGCCAAGGAATTCCAAGCCAAGAAATCGGCTCCCGAAACTAACAAAGAATGAGTTGTGCAGTATGATGTGTATCAAAGTAACAGAAGGGGGTCTTCGACTCAAGGAACCGGAGATTACATTCCCTTTCCCAATGTGGCTGAATAAAAAGAAACAAGACACAGTATCTGAACAGCCGATAGAGGATCCGATATCCCCGTCGAAGGTTAGTGAAAATAATTGTCAGGAACAAATTGAGACGAAAAAGAGTAGTGAATCCTTCAATTCCTCTAATGCGAAAAATTTGACAAGCAGTGGTTACTGCCTCTAGCGGAGGAGGAGGTATATCCCAGGGAAACTATTATTTCAAGAAGTTGCAAGGAGGCCTTTGGAACGATGAAAAGAAAAACAAGATGTATTCCACTTGTACGTTTATTCTAGAATTATCCCGAAGAGTCATTAATTATCCTAAGAAGAAAAGGCAGGATAGAATTTATTATGTTGCATATTTTATTGAAATCAAGAAGCCTAAACCATCTTAAGAGTAGGCTGATGACTAAAGTCCTAAGGAAAAGGCCTCTAACAACGTACATGCTGTTTTATTTTTTACAAATCGTGATTGATATTATAACGGACAATTAACGTATATCTGTACATGAGAGTGATCATTTGTTAGTTGTGTCGAATGTTTGTCCATATGAATAGATATTTCGTTATGCATGTTTTAAAGAACTAAAAAAACAACTTGTTCCGTGAAAATATGTTCACAAATCCTGAAAAATTGGATAAACTCTAGGACTCTGATAATGATGCGTCCGGTCTTATATGTTCAATGTACAATAGGGTTCAGGTATACATCTGAGGTTTAGGGTTGAAAAATGATCCCTACTATTATAAGCTCCGTCACAGGACTCTGAGTACCGTCATTTACAACGTTGAACCCCCTCCTAAGTATGCATCTGGTTGCACTAAAGGGTTATGCCCACCATAGGATGACCTTCCTTCCATATGTTAGTTCTCTCCCGAACAATATGTTATGTGTTCAACTGAGTCCAGATTTAATGTACATTGTGTTAGAATGTGTACCATCTTCCGTTTTATGAGTCTATTTGTCCTTCCATTATTAGTGATTCCACCACCATATGGTTGTTAGAGGACTTAGATTGACCCAGGTTAGACAGTCAATAGAAAAATTCTAACCCCATAATTACATGTAAGGGAGCGTCTTAGAAAAGGAAGAATTGATCTATGAGTCAGTCAATGGAATGGACCAA